GTGTGTCACGTGGTGTTAGGGACCGTCTTCCAATTCCGTACAGCCACTGCCGGTGTCTCAGGGTCTGGGGACAGTTCTCCCCCTCCCCCACCTAGCCCAGTCCCCGCCAGGTAGCCGCTGACCCACGGGCGGTCCCTCGCAGACCCTACAGGAACCCAGGCGCCTAGGGCTGAAAACAGTGGCTTCAGTAAGGAGTTGGTATTCATTTTTTTTTAGGGTGATCAAAATGAATTCTTAATGAATTTCTACCAGGTACCACGCAAAATTCGTGCTTACTGCCCTTGGTTGTTGCAGGAGTTGAAGGGAATAAGTGCAAAGCGCTTACAAGAGAGCCTGGTACAAGTCAGTGCTCAATAAATGCTGGTTATTCTCAGTTTTTACAGACCTGAAAACGGAATTGGGAGGCACAATGGGGATTTGAACCCAGGACCGCCTGTTTCCGGTGACCGCGCCATTCTCTCGCTGGTGCCCCAAAGGTTCCAGTTGTAGTGAAATGCTCTCATTGCTGGTCCCCCGTTACCGTCACTAAGCCCGGCACCCCTGTGTTCCGCTCACTTCTCTGGAATCCGGTCTCCCTTGCCTGTGCCTCGTTCAGTCAGTGACCTCCCAGGAGCTCAGTCCACGATCCTGCTGATCCTTTTAGATGCGGGTGCTTGGGCGACAGAGGTGACCTAAAGTCACACACAGTCTAGACGTAGAGGCTTCCGTCCTGGGAAAACTGACCGGCAGAGAGTCCGGCGGAGAGAAGCGTCCACGAATGCTGCGTGACCTCGGGCAGGTGGCCCACCTCCTCTGTGCCTCTATTTCCTCTTCTAGAAAACAGGGTCCCGCGTTGGTGGGGGTGTTTAAGGAAATAAGCCTCGAGGGTTATAATTAATCTTCTTCACGATCATCGCAGACAGCGGACATCAGTGGGCCCCTCCTGCCATTTACACAAGAACCAGGTGAGGCTTAGGAAGTAGATTTTGGCCCGAGGTCACTTAGCCATGAAATGTTGCGACCCCCGATTAGAATCCCGGCCCCGTTTGGCTCCCAAAATGACAGTCAGTCCAGCGAGGGGCTTGCGTCAACTACTCCGAGGAAACGAGCCATTGGTCAAACCCGAGCCCGCGGGGAGCGGGGCTGGGGTGCGCGGGGCACTTTGCAGACGCTCCCTTCCGGCGG